AACAAGATTTTCTGCAAATGTGAATGGATGCTCGTACACGAGGTTTTTAATATGACACCAAAAGAAGAATTCCAGGAAGGTTAAATCAGCAGAACGCGGTGGCCAGGGAACTGCCGAACCTATCCAGTGCTGGCCGTAGACACGTCTAGGTGATTCTGGATGTTCCGGCTGCAGTAAGCTGGGGCTCCATCGTGTTGGAACCAAATTCGTCCGCGAACAGCTGGGGCAACATCGACGAAAAGTTCAGGTAAGATCTCCTGTAGGAAAATGCTGTACGTGTGGCCAGTTAAATGACTGCGTAGAATGTTTAGAATTAAGTTAGCGTAGAACTAAGTTATTGTGCATAATGCCTGCTCAAACATTAATGTAAAAACCTTTCTTGGTAGGCGTGTGTTATTGTGCTGTATGGGTTATCATGAGCGCACAGGTGAGAATTATGAATGTTAAACATACCCGTCCTCGTAAAGGTAGCAGAATCATTGAATAAAACATCTGCAACAGGGAAAGTTTGATTGCCTGCAGACTGCTGTGGGTACCAACGAGCAAAGTTGAGATGTGGAAAATAATCCTCAGGGGTCATTGATTGCCCTCTCTGTAAATGATACGGATGTATTCCGTCTTCATGTAAAGTCCTCAAAATAGTTGTATGGCCCACCCCCAGCGCACGTTCCGTAGCTCTCGAGCTTGACGAAGGATTATCCCCTACTGTGTGTGGTATTCTTTCTTCCACTGCAGGAATTCTGAGATATCTTCCTATGTCAGTATCACGCCTTCCTATGCCGTACCATAAAACGATCCACCCGTGCTTAATTCTCGTTGAAGACACTCGAATGTTCTACTATCCGGTTGATTCCTCTCCAGGAATCGCTCCCTGTACATCCTTTGAGCAGTGCAGCCCCATACATGAAATGTATATCAGCAAGCTCCGCATTGGTGTTACGATGCATGTTGCTCAAGATCGTTGCGGAAAATGAAGAATTCAGCTAGAAGCAGTCATCCGCTAGCAGCGCTAACTTTAATATGCCGCACTCATCAGGTTCAACGCGGCATTACCGCACACACATTCCTTTACGAAATCTGCTTAATTAGGTCCCCTCTACCTGCCTTTACATTTTTGAAATATAGTTTTGAAAAATCCTGTATAATTATAGGAAGAGTCTGTGTGTCTTTCCTTCGGGCTGCGCGTAAGCATCTAGACAAGAGCCAGTGCGTCTCGAAGCGATTTTTTCAAAATTCGAATGAGCTTTTATTTTATGTTTTCCAATGAAATCGCGTCAAATCGATAATTCTCTCTCATTATATCAGTAACAATGGAACGCAGCCATTGTTTGCTGATCTATAACTATTGCTATTGTTGCTAATATCAGCACTATTACCACTCGCAAAAATGAGGGCTATAATTCTGTGCAGTTTTTAAATTTAATGTTAGCTTGGACACTGGACGTTTGTCGAGAGAAGGCAAAGGGAAGTTGGTTAACTTATTTAATAAGATAAAAAATATTTCTATTAAGGGGTATTGCTTATTGCATTGAATTTTTTTTTTATATGTAATACATTTTTATTGATTTTTTTTTTATAAAGTTGTTCTGCAGAGTAAAATTCTGTGCATTTTTAAAATTTAATGTTTGGTGTTCCCTTTAGGCATTTTTTTCGGTACATTTAAAAGCCAGACGAAGGATGGCCGCGTAGCGGCTAGTTGCTAATAAAGCTAGCATTTCATGCGAGTTGCTATTATAAGGTATATCACCCACTGTCCTAGCGTGACTTCGTGGTGTAGTGGTTCTGCACGCTGGGCCAGTATTCCAGAGGTCCGTGGTTCGATTCCCGGCGAAGGCGGTTGCTAATTTTTCATCTCTCCTGCTTCCAAAAAAAAATACCTAATGTCTCTACAGTGGCACCCGAATTAAAAGGTGTTGGATGAGGTTTCTCCACACCCCTGGATTTGGCGATTGGGTCCCCTGAAAACCCCAGTCGCCCTTTAAAAAGAGGAGTATATAAGGTATTTCTCCCACTTTCCTAGCGTGCCTTCGTGGTGTAGCGGGCTGCACGCTGGGCCGGTATTCCAGAGATCCGTGGTTCGATTCCCGGTGAAGGCGGTTGCTAATTTTTCATTTCTCCTGCTTCCAAAAAAATACCTAATGTCTCTACACTATAAACGCTTCGTCAATCAACATTCCAATCGTCTACTAGTCGAACTTTTAACCATAGCTGTAGAAGCTTTATGAGCTATTTTCAAATACAAGGTAAATCAAAATTAATGGTACAGAAGAAAACATACCTGTAACTACTATAATGAATTTATTTCACAAATGCAGATATATCCTAAACGTAGAACTCTCCATATTTCTATGGACATGCACAGATGTTCGATGTGAAGGCCTTTTGTGACACAGCTACTCGACAGTTTTGTTCGGGAGTTCTTGCCAAACAGGTATACGGATTCCACTTTATTATGTAACCTATTAGACCCATAAAGGTGGTCAAATGACTTACCGCCATGTCTTAGATTTCTAAGTAAAATAACTCAGAAGAAACTTTAAATAAGCATTTCCTTATTTTATTGTGAGCCTAATGTTGACACAACCTGCGTACAGAAAATAACTCTGAAGTGAAGTTTGAAATTGAATCTGTAGACATGTGAGGTTACTTTAGAAAATAAAAGATTATAAGGTATTTCTCCCACTTTCCTAGCGTGCCTTCGTGGTGTAGTGGTTCTGCACGCTGGGCCAGTATTCCAGAGGTCCGTGGTTCGATTCCCGGCGAAAGCAGTTGCTAATTTTTCATCTCGCCTGCTTTATGCTTGATATCTACTGTACGATTTTTGTTTTAAAAAAATAACTATTAGTGGTAAAAATTGTGTAATAGTTTTGTGTGGTTTTATTTTATTTTCCTAATAATTAATTTTATTTTGAAAGCAGCCTTTCCTTTAAACTCTCAATTTCAATATGAATGAGTTGCAGTTTCGCGCAGTAAATTAGGGTAAGAAGCCACAAGTTAAGCTGAGGTCTGACTCACATCAGTCAGAGTGTGTTTTGCCTTTCGTCTAAGTTGTTTCGCTACTAGTTGTTTCGCTGCTAGTTGTTTTGCTATTTTACGACTGTGCATATTAATTGCCGTTTAATCTACGTCGGTGCTGGGTGAGCCAAGGGCCAACTACGAGTTTGTCTTTGTGCAGCTTCGGTTGATTTAACTTAGGATTAGTTGTAGTTTCACGTTTCCTATTTTGAGTTACCGCCAAGATTGTTGGCGTGATACTCTACGCACGAGACGTGTCGTCTTTGAAACTATTTCTGAATGAATGAAGAATGTATTCATCCTTTTTCTTGTGTTGTTACTCTGACACAATAGAACATAACGAACAGTCACTTCAATGATTTAATAAGATCTAACCTGCAAAAGTAACTTGAATTAGTTAGAATCTTATAATCTATATAAACTTTCTCTGGAAAATACAGTTTTAAAGGGGGTCCCTGTTGGCGGGCCTACAAATATCAACATGTGGTTGGGGGGTTCGAAATTACTTAAATCAGCCGTGCAATTCATGTAATTGGTAGCACGTCTGACTAGCAATCGAAAGATCCGTGGCTCAAATATCAGAGAGGGATAGTTGAATTATTATGTTTCCTGGCTTAGAAAAAATCTGCATATCTCTACAGTAGCATTAGGATTAAAAATGCAGTGAACGTTAATTACTTACCACCTAGCTTGGATCGACTGGGTCTTGTCCTCCCTCGACATGACATGAAATGAGTGAGTACAAAAACAATTGTCGTATTCCCTCATGCGTGCTTTCAAGATGCAAAGGATAAAATATACAGGTAGCAATTGGAAGATCTGTGGTTCGAATCTCTGCAAAGGCACAGTATTTTTCATATTTCTCTCTGTGTAAAACTTAATAGCTCTACAGTAGCATCCGACTAAAAATGTGGTGAATAATGATTCTTCACCACTTGGATTTGGCTCACTGGGTTTCGTTCCTCTCTCTCTCTCGTCGCTCTTGAGGCGGAGAAAATGAAAGGTATTATCGCCCTTCCCTAAATATGTTTTCATGGTATAATTAGCAGCGCATCCAGCTAGCAGTCGGAAGATTTGTGGTTCGAGTATTGGCAGAGACATAGCTGATATTTCACGTTTCCTGCAACGAATAATTTTACAGCTTTATAATGTTGCCTGGGACGTTTGACTGTCTGAATCTGATCTTGAATATAAGCTTAACATTTTAATTCTAGTCGATTGGCGTACATTTTAATGGAATGAATTTAAAATATGTACTGTTACGAATTTTGTATTTAGATAGGTAATTTTAGTAGCATTATAATTAAAATTGTTGTATTTTTTCCGTGAAATGTAGCGCGAAAGGAATTTTAAGAGAAATCTATTCCAGAAATGTTAGAAAAAAGGGCTAGTGCATTTAACATTGAGTAAATAGGTATCTCGGTAATTTGGCGAGATATTGCCAATCTGATAATGGTTTTGATGATCATTTGGCGACATTTGTGTCCGGTCTCTGTATCACCGTAATATGTACTAGAAATATCTCGGCGGCCGGTTGAAAAGTTTTTAATGCCGAAGAGAGGGCATCTGCTCTCAGTTGCTTAGTTACTGTTTTCGCGAGTTGTTACTTCTGCGTGAACTGAGATATCCGAGTTAGCTTTCTGTTTAGATGCACTTTGCATTGCGTTGTGTTTAACGTTCTTAGTAGTTTGAAGTGTTAACTACTGATTACCATGTGATACTGTGAACATTTGTACGAACATTTCTGTGGAAAATTCCAGAATTCTGGAATATTTCTTTTGATAAAAATAAATTTTATCAACCTATTACCGGACTTGTGCATTCTATATCTTACGAGCCCGTACGCGTGCAACAGTACTTTAAATGTTTTTTTTTCCTACATATTAACCTTAAAATAAAAAGTTAACTGTCTAATCTTATTAGATTTCTAAACTTGTGTGTTGTTGTACTTTAATTATATGCATAACTAAGAATTTGATAACAACCTAATGCAATGACGACACGAAGGAAATCTGAAGGACCATTGCCTCTCAAAGACTCCACTGCTTCCATTACTTCTAAAGAATTTCCGATAGTTCTTCCAAGTGGAGCATCCATAGCTGTCAGGAGAGCTGATGATTTGACAGTTTTCGATGCTGAGACCTAAATAGGAAATCTGTAGTTAGTATATCTACATCATGAACAATTACGAAGATGTTTATAAATAACTGAGTCATAAATTAATACAATTGATTTTAATATACATTTATACTCATAGCTTTATGAATTTCAGGAAGTAATTATTTTTTATAAATGTACGTTTTTTAGATAAACAAAGTTCATCAAATTTATGATTGTACATTTTTCGTTGTTCATATTGTAAGCCTCTTTTTTAGTTTACATGTGTACAATGACTAGAAGAAATAACAGTCAGCGAAAAGGGATAAATAATGTTTTTCTCTGGGCTATGACACCTACTATGGCACTGATGAATATTTAATCAAAGAAAGATATAAAAATATTTTATTCCAATGAAAATGGCTTCTTCAAGGCTTACGGTGTGGAAGGAAAAGATAAAAAAAGAGAGACAGAGAGGTTACTCAGACTTTCTGGTTCTTTCAACTACAGCAGCATAAGCTTAGTTTATATAGTCTTATTTAATTATCTTATTAATTATTATAGTCTTATTAATTAGCAGTCATTCTATACTTCCCCTCCTCCCCCGTCGGTGACGTTTTACATAGTGTACAGCACTGACCTCTGGAATTATCTTTTACATACAAGTGCCTAAAGTAGGTATTTTATGACAATATTTTAATCAATTGTTACTCGCTTTTCTGCTACTGTGAATAAATCGACTGTTCTACATGCATAGATTTAAAAATTCATGCTGCTTAGCATCAGTTTTTTTCAATCATATTCATAAACTTAAATTAGTATCTTAATGCGATACGAAGATGGATGTGGTACTTGAGTATTCTGGTTTAATACTGCTCTACATACAAAATAATAAAATGCACATAATGTCTATATAAAATTCACTAATTTTTTGTCTGAATTGGAAATGTTTTCGGTTAAAATTTACAAACAGTTTACATCGAATAGCCATGTTTTAGTTTTGTTTGGTTTATGTGGTTAATCAACTACTGATTCGTGTTAATGCTGATAAAATGGACTTTTGTTGAGTTGATGCTGATACTGGTAAAATTAGAGAATCAGACTTTTTTACACTCGCGGTTTAGGGCAGCATGTTACGAATACTGCTGGCGCTGAAATACGGTATAAAGTCATATACAAGCAGAAGACACTTCTTTCTCAAGCAGAAGATGAAGAAGATTCAACTCAAATAATTTGTAGGATTACTATTAAGTTTATTTAACAAAATTTGAGGAAGGAAATTCCTCTGCATTCAGAAAGCTCATAAATTCAAACTCATAACAATCAAACTTTTCGCTGTTTATTTGCTTGGGCATTCGCTTATTTGCTTAGTAGTTTCACAATACATTAAGTGAGTTCACATTATGTTTCGGAAAAAGTCATTTTTTCTTGCTTATTGTCAGACTGGCTTTTGGACTGAAACAAGCTGTGGAATTACACTTCCTTTTTATGGCATTCACATGAACTTTTGGTCTGCAACTTATAAGATCATTCTGCACAATAAGAAATATCCAAGTTAAACTCTATTTACTTTTCTCTCATTTAAAACTGTAGAGGCCTTAGGTATTTTTGGAAGCAGGCAAGATGAAAAATATGCAACGCTTTCGCCGGGAAACGAACAGCGGACCTCTCAATTACGCGCTGAGCGTGCAGACCACTACACCACGAAGGCTCGCTAAGAAGACAGGAGAAATACCTTATAAAACTTTCAGTTTTATATCTTATCTGTTTGATGTACCAGCAGAGTGGTCAAGGTCTTAAATATCAGCTCTTATTTTGAGAAAAATGGATATAATTTATCAATTCATTTAAAATTTTATTGCCTTTTTAACCACACTTTTTTAAAAGTTTTATAGATATTTTTATTTACATATTTAAATGAAGATCTTTTCTCGATCATTTGTATGTAAAAAGCCCTAAACTTTTTCTAAAATTACAGCCAGGAACTGCTCGCTAAAATTTGGAATTCTCTAGATTCATGAAGAGTCGTCAGTGAACAAAAATAAATCAACAAAATGATAGATCAAACAATAAATCACAAAGAGTTAAAATTGAGCAAAATATAAAGGGATAAAGGCGTCAATGAATTAAGTTATATCAATGATAAGTAAATAAATATCAAATTAAAATATCGTAAAAATTAAATAAATATGAGAAAACTGATGTTAAATTTTAAAAAGGCATAAAAATGAAGTGAAATAATAAAAGAAATGAAAGGCAAGTAAGTTAATAGAAACAAAGCATGATCCAAGCAATCAATATTCTTAGCATTCAAATCAAGTTGGATCTTTATTTTGGTTTCTGTTAGGTTTAAAGGACTTTTAACCAGATGAGTACAGTCCATAAAAATTCCTTTCTCTAATAAGATCGCATTTTGACACGGAGGATTATTTCTTCAGCTTCACAAATGGAACACAAAAGCGCAAAATGTTTCCCATTTTGCGCTTTTGTGTTCCATTTGTGAATGCCTTAATTTCCCTAAGAAACCTTAATTTCCTTAAGAAATTCTTAGGGAAATTAAGGCATTCATTCAGTGTCTTATTAATTTTATTAAATGCTAAATAAAATGATGTGTTAATAACAGAAATTTCTATTAGTATTGCGATTCCGTTGCATAAGCATCAGAGTTCGTTTTCTTTGAGCTTCGGTGCAATCTGCCTGGAATTACAATGTCACCTGAAAGTGGGTTTGTACCGGAGCCGGATTTCTGTTGAATTTAAGCATTGATTATAACGAGATATTTTATCTCTTAAAATAAATACTAATGTTGCACTGAAATTGCTGAATACATCCATAGTGAGTGCATGTTTTTAAAAAATCAGAGAATTGACCAGGAAAAATGAGAACATACTTAACAAACTGGTAATCAGCTAATTTTCTTGCCTTACATAATTTGAAAACGTGTTATATTTTTATATTTGTTGCAAATGGGATGCCTTTTAAAGTTTTTCATTTTTAATTTTCGTTTTCAGAGAAAGGCAAAAGACTAAACATCTGTTGAACAGGTCCCTTAAAAGCACCTTTGTTTCATTTTCAGTAGTGTTTCAAATTTTCGGAAAAGATATTTTAAGATTTAATACATTATTACTCGCTCATATCTGAAGTTTATCTAAAGTGAATGGCATCGTCACAATATAAAAGTATGAAGTTAATCTTAACCATGAGCCTTTGAACTTCTCTCGTGATTCTGCCACCTTCGGAAGTCGCATACAGATCTGGGAAATAGCTGTCGAGGAGTTTGGTTGTATTCTATAAGTGTTTGAAAGCTTTCGTTTCCCATCCCAGGGTGTTTGTAGATTGAGATTAAGATATTGTGATTACACTGTAACTTTAGCGTAAAGGCAAGCAGCCTATTGTAATGTTTGATGAGAGGTACTCGACTTTAGTCTGTTATTATTTTAGTTTTTTAACACCTACAAGTCTGAATAAAATTTCTGTTAAGGTTTTACATTTGAATTTTATCTTGTATTTGATAGTTAAGTAGTATCAGAGGTCATAATTCAATTACCTACAATTTAACTTCCGTGGTTGTCATGGCGTTTAGAGCAAATTCTAAGTTGATCTGAAACTGAGGGACCGGGAGCCGAATTCATCCCCTGAAACATTTTCATATGGCTCCCGAATAAACTTAATTTATGTAATTCTTTTTACCCCGCTGCTTATACTTTTACAGACATAAAGATATAGACTAAGTTTAAGTGCTCGATTACTACTGAAAGAGAAAGAGAATGATCAGATTGTGGCTTTGTTTTTATCATTGAATGCTTTTATTCCGGTCGGCAAGATTGGTTTAAAGTAGGAGAAATATTCACATTGGTAAAATTAGTAAATTTGATTCGCTAACTGACAGTTGGTAACGTTTTAGCATTCTAGTGTGTAGAAACATTAAGACTTTTGATGCTGGAGAAAAATGTGCAAATGCCTTCGCCGGGACTCGAAACACGGACCTCTCGAATACGCGCCGAGCGTGCTGACCATTACACCACGAAAGCATTCTAGGAAGGCCGGAGAAATACCTTATATATTTCTCCTTTTAAAGGGTGACTCAGTCACCAAAATCCTGGTGGTCATTAGGAAACTCAGTCACCAAATCCTTGTGGTGGAGAAACATCATCCACCACCTTTTTTTAGTTCGGGAGCCACTCTAGAATTATTAGGGTTTCTTGATGCTGAAGAAGTGAAAAATGAGCAATGCCGTCGCCGGGACTCCAACCTCGAACCTCTCGAAATACGCGCCGAGTGGACTGACCATTATACCACGAAGGCATGCTTAAAAGGCGGGAGAAATACCTTATATACTCCCCCTTTTAAAGGGCGATTGGAGATTAGGGTACCCAATCGCCAATCTTTGGTGGTGGAGAATCATTATCCACCACCTTTTTTTTAGTTCGGGGGGGGGCACTGTAGAGTCATTAGGTTTTCTCGAAACAGGAGACAGGAAAAATATACGATGCCCTCGCCGGGGCTTGAAAATCACTGACCTCTTGAATACTCGATGAGCGTGCTGACCATTACACCACGAAGGCATGCTAAGAAGGCGGGAGAAATACCTTATAAGTGTTTCCGAATTTTACTAATATTAAGTTGGCGCTTTTAATATATACATTTCTTGATTCAGTCACTAGTTTGTTAGCTGAATGCATTGCTGTTCAGTTCATATTGCTGATAAACTAACGTAAAAGATTACAAAACCTATTTGTTTGTGATTGTTGTTAGATGTTCATTATAACTATATCAATTGTTTAGAACTGTGCATAACTTTTGAGTGTAGATTTTATACGAAGCTTCATCTTGTCGAATTATAGTTGTAAATCAAATTTAATAGTAATTTTAATTAAGAGATTAAACTGCAAGCCATGTCTTTAACAAAGGGTAAACGAGAAATGGACGAAGAAAGATGTGTTTTTCAAGATAAATGGAATAGCACGAATTTTAATGGTGTTGGGAACAATAACTGCATGTTTTACTTGTAATAATGGAATATCAGCTCCAAAAGAATACAGTTTACTTCGCTACTATGAAACAAATCATGAAGAAAAATTTAAATGTTGAAAGGTAAATTGAATGAAGAAAAGTTTCAATTTCTGAAATCTGGCTCATAGCAATAACAGATTATTTTTTTAAAAAAACAGAAGCAAATTGTAACACTACGGCATGTGTTTACAATTGACGAGTTTCTTTTCCTGTCAGAAGAGAGCTAAGCACCATCCACGCCACTCCTTGAGGAATCTTCCAGACAACTGAACCTAATGACCAGAAAGGAAGTTTCAGATGTATGATATTTTTTATGAGATGTTTAATATGAAATTTAACTGTTACGTTTTTAATGAAAACCCTCAAAATACAACTAGTCTGATGTTTTCTCCATTTGGAAGTTTCCGACTTCCTAATTGCCTCACGACGTTTCAGCTTAAGTATTATTTTGGTGGCAGTGAAATTATGAACAACTACGGAAGCAAATTTCGATACCTGTCATCAATTAACAATATATATATGAAAAATCTTGTATTTACTCTATAGATATCTTTAAAAAATGGGCATTAGTCTCTTGCATTGAAGTGGCACTTCAACATCCGAAAATTATCAGCATCTTAAAATCTTGTCGAGACGTGAGAATAACTTTGTAGAGACATTAGGTTAATTTTTAAAGCAGGAAAGATGAAAAATAGCAAACGCCTTCGCCAGGAATCGAACCACGGACCTCTGTAATACCGGCGCAGCGTGCAGAACCACTACACCACGAAGGCACGCTAGAAAGGCGGGAGAAATACCTTATATACTCCCCCTTTCGAAGGGTGACTGGGGATTTTAGGGGACCCAATCGCCAAATCCTGGGTGTGGAGAGTCATCATCCATAACCCTTTTAGTTCGGGCGCCACTGTAGAGACATTAGAATTTTTTGGGGGAAAATCAGGAGGATTGGAAAAATTAGCAATCTCTTTCGCCGAGAATCGAACCACGGACCTCTAGAATACAGGCCCAGGGTGCAGAAACACTACACCACGAAGGCAAGCTAGGAAAGCGGGAGAAATACCTTAGGGTAGCGGAGGGCAAAAGTTTAATCTATTAAGGAGTGCAACATCAGTGTCCAAAGATGAGCAGCTTCTTAAAGTTTTGTTAGATTTGTGTACGTTAATATTTTACAATATAGCCGTAATATTTCATCGGAACCATAACCTTCCGAAGATCAGTTTTGTTATATTGGACCATCCTGCGTCCTAAAAGCATCTACGTTTGTAAAGTCTTTGTTTATGACCAACCGCGTCCATAAAATATTATGTATACTCGCGTGAAAAATTACTAGAATTTGTGTTTTATGACGAATTTCTGAAAAACTAATGGGTTTTAAGGAAATTTGGTATGAATATACATTGTAAGATTCTCACTATTGTATTTCTCAGTTACCGTAGATAGCGAGTAACCTTAAGAACTAGTTAGCGAATAATCGCTTAAGTTCGTGTGACAAGAAACAACAAGTTGGAAGGGTAACTAAGCTTTTATTACACCCAATAAGATTTAACAAAACTCCGTCTTGGAGTGCACAAGAAAAGCCGACACTTGGGCTTGAACTTAAAATACTAAGAAATAAACTAAAACTAAGATTAACTAAAGAGATATAGCCGAAGCTATCAAGATTCTATCGAGTGGCCCCTAACTCTATTGACTACAAGCTGTCAGGATGAGTACGTGCGAGCGTAATAAACAGCTTTGAGTGAGAGAGAGTAGCCAAAAGGCAGACGCGCTCAAATCAGAACTCTGATTCTCTTACTCAGGGTAATTTCGTGGTTTTTAAATACCGCTCTCTCATTAAGTATTCAGAGTGATTCCAAAACTACGTTCTGGCCGGAAGTAGTAAATTGAAGTCAAGAATTTGACAGGAAAGGAACTTTAACTTAAAATTTAACTGTTAATAAAATTAGCATAATCCTTACAACATTTATAACACAGAAAAAGATGTTGCATTCAAAAGTCATTTAATGTTATTATATATCATTTTATACCATTATATGATTATCAGAAAATCTTATAAGATATTTTCTCCCTTCTTTCAGTATGCCTTCCTTGTGTAACGCTAACATATTCGAGGGGTCCAGGTTCGAGTCCCGTTGAGGGCACTGTACATTTTTCATGTCTCCTGCTTCAAAATAACCTAATGACTCTACAGTGCCGCCCGAACAAAAAGGTGATGGACAATAATTCGTTACCTCCAGGATTTGGCGATTGGGTCCCCTAAAGCCCAATCTGCCTTTAAAAGGGGAAGTATATAAGGTATTTTCTTCCTCCTTCCAGCATGCCTTCGTGGTGTAATGGTAGCACACTCGGCGCGTATTCGAGAGGTCTAGGCCTGAGTCCCGGTGAGGGAATTGCTCATTTTTCATGAACTCCTGCTTCAAAAATACTTCTACAAGCTTAAATGTAGGGATCTCCAAACTCCAGAGATATTTAATATAACTCCCAAGAGACAACCAGTCTGATGTTTCTTACTCGCACTACGAACTTTAAAAAAGCCGCCCAACCGGGATAGTGGTTAGTGACTCTGAGTGTCGTACAGAAGGCCCCGGGTTCGAATCTCGGAGAAGACATGGATGTTTGTAAGCGGTGTGGGGATACTCTAAACATGCGTTGAGCTGAAAGTCCTCTCGAAAGGTTGGTGATAGGGAAAGAGGGGTGGGAGACCCTTGCACCAGTCCCTTCCGGGGTGTTCTCTCTCGAAATTGGCAACAGAACTGAGCTAAAGTCAGCCACCTGTATGGTGCCCGAGGCTCTTGTCAACGACAGAAGCATATGACGCCTTGCCAGGATGAATATCGTGGGGTTGTCAGACAAGTGAGATTGGTAACAACAACAGCAACTTCGAAAAATGCTAAATACATGATGACGTCTCAAAATAAATACAATAAAATAACAGTTCACGCAAGTTTTGCTCTTGCGCACATCATTTCAAAAAGACTAAAACCATTTACTGAAGGCGAATTCTTTAAAGATTGTTTAATTAAATCTGTTGAGTTTCTTTACCCTCACAAACAACAAATATTCAAAAATATTAGTTTCTCAACCAACAAGATAACGGAATGTATTATCGAAGTTGCTACTGATTTTTTTGTTTCATCAAGCATTTAATATTTAATTTATATATATGTATCTTACAAGGGATATATATATAGTATATATATGTTGATGAGTTTAAATTCTCTTTTAGAACTTCTACTAAAATTAATATTAGGAGATAATATAATAATATAATCAATATTTCTTTAGTAATTACATACATATATATGGCGGGGCCTGACGGGGAAGAGTAACGTGCTATAACTAAACATTTATCTTAGTATCTTTCTATACTTTGGTTTGATAACACATGCATATTTCATACATGCGTAAAATGATATTTTTACGAAAATCTACTCAAAGCATGAGAATCTAAAATGAGAAATTAATCATTAGAGAAAAATTTGTTATAAAGACTATAAAACTTACAAGTTGTTTAGCGATTTCAAGGGCTTCTTCCTTAGTTTTAAAAATTGCTCCCTTTCCAAATTTCACATCATAAACTATCGCATTAAGGCCTTCACTTAGTTTCTTTGACACGATGGACGCTTTAATAAAAATAAAAATAATATTATATTTAAGCATTTTTATTACAGTTATAAAATTCTGCGCTTCTAATTTGACACTGAATATAGAATTATTAGATTTTATTAAAACATAGTTTGCTTTTGTTGCAAAACAATTCATGTTTTCTAGTTAAAAGACAGTTGCAGTAAAAACATTCCTTCTAAATCAGAATTATCGGACTCGTCTGAATCACAGCCTTTGTTCCACACAAGTACAAAACTCACACGTACTGGAACTCATTTGTCAGTGATTGATTTTATATATATATGTTACCGTGAAAGGCCGAAATTGGAGAATGTCGAATTTCACCGAAGAATGTCAGTATTCACCAAATACGTCGGTGAAAGATCGAATATTGCATTACTTTCGGACCCTCACCAGCGCATGTCGACAATCACATATATGCTCTGATGTAGGTCGGAAAGAGAGGAATATATGTACACGCTGTCATTGTAAAAGGAAATGTTCCACAAATAAATGCAGGTAAAAGCAACGGCCTCTTGTGCAATTCAAAGTGTCATAATAGTTTAAGTTGTTGCAATAAATAAGATTTGAATCACATAATTTAGTAAGTTTTTAACTTCTGTTATTGTCCTTTATCATTTTAAATGTATTGTGTGTTTTAGGTTCTTAAGTTCTTATTTTAAGTTTCAAGTGCGTTTTTTCTCGACTGAATTACGGAGAAGAAAATATAATATTCTTATATGTTCAACATTCACCATTAGTATGTGGTGAATGTCGACATTTACCGGTGTAAGTCAGAAATAAGAGTATTTGGAAAATATTTCGGACATACACCAAGCGACTGACTATGTGAATGTTGACATTCACCGGTGAAAGTCGACATTCTCCAGATTTCGGTGTTTCACAGTAACATATATACATATTATCTTTATTCATGCTAGAAACTAGTAATCATAAAGTACTTCAAAAGCTCTAGAAATTATCAGTACGTCAAGAGATGAAGATGGAGTACACGTAAATTTATTTCTATTTAAAAATAAAAGTTTTTACAACCACGGAAGAGTCCTCAGTTGACATTTTAACACTTCTGCTTTACGTTCTCTCTGTAAATGTTCAGAGTTCAAAATAAAAAGTAAATATAATAACAGTCTCGCTGAAAATGAACTTTAACTCCTCCTGCTGATAATTCTCGAGAACAAAACAAGATCTTCTACGGCTAGGCCAAGAAACAAAAGTTTGAATTCTGTCTCTTAATGATTTAAACCATAATTTACCCGCTTGATAAAATACAGATGATAGTTACAGCACTAAATTTTATTGAATGCATGTTATTTAATGTTAATTTATATAAAAAATCTAGGATTTGAATTTAATAAAAATAAGCTTATTTTGAGAATGCTATTAAAAAACTTGGTGAAATGAAAGCAGAGTAACGTTTATTTCAAAAATTGTGAATTTCATTGCGGGACGAGAAAGAGGTGGAGGGACGTCCTGTGTCTTATTATGGCACAGCGCTTCTCCTACCTTATTTATTGGGCTTTACCACTTACACTCCGGTAACGAGGATTGGAAATCTCGGATAAGGCCTTTCTATTTATAAAAAATAAGAAGGAACTGCAATACAAGTTGTGCTCATATATATATATATATCAAGTTAGTTTCTTTAATAGAAGCTTCTGTGCTTATAAATTTGCTTTGTTGAAATTTAAAAACTTCTAACTTCCTTAGAAATATTTCCATATATCCTTCCTATGTATTTATTACGCAGTTAAGTGTCTTGATTAGTATTAACACGGGTTTAAAAATTCTAATTTTTCATTATTTTTACTTATTTTAATTCAACCGTCACTTTAAAGCGTGATTTTAATTGTAAACATATAAATGCATACAAAAATTAGTAACTTAATAATGTACTTTTGTAGTACATATGGATATGCTTTTAATATTATACCGATGAATGAATTGTAAATGTATATTTTCTTATCTCTTTCTATGTATATAATGTAATACTAAAAGAAAACATCCTGTTAGTAAAGCTTCAAAAACACATATAATTGGACGGCAGGAAGCGGGTGGACAACAGCAATTGTCCCATTTTGGGACGCCACGATCAGGTAATTGAGCTTCTGTTTAAGGAGGTATTGACAGAGCAATCATTCTTGCAGCCACTTCGCAGACACTATGCAAGCCTGCGATGAATTTAGCAGTAGTTTGGTTTTCAGTGTGAAACTAATCTGATTACCTAGCAAATACTTCACTTAACGGGACTATCGATTCTGTTAGATATCTTCATATTGTAAATGTGAACTGCAAGAACCAAAATCCTCTATTGCAAGTAGCAGAACATAGTAAAATTAAACTCCTACCTGTCTTAAAACTTTGCTGTCGTTCTTATTTTCATTTCAAACTCTTCCGCATTTAATTAACACTCGAGCGTACAAAATTTATAAAAAGGATAAAAAAAAGAAATTGTACATTTTCTTTCTATGAAACTAACTGTAGTTAAATCCCAGTTTCTGCCAACGTGATAAAAAAGTTCTCTGAATGTATTCAGGATAAAACCTGAACTAGTTATACGTGGATCCCGCAATCAGAGGGTTAAAAAATATTCTTCAAATCCCCCCCAAAAAACTTTCTAACAAAATAACACCCATATAAATTTAATAAAGTTTTTACCAACAATGAGGGGCGCACTGTCAACTGTGGCTGTTATTTCCCTGCATTGGTAAAGTACTTTATCAGCAGGATTGCAATCCTCTGTTTGTCCTACTATGCAGCATCCAACAGTTTCAACGATTTTCTGAATCTCATTTGCTTTGAAATAGACGCGAACTCCTGGAATAGACTCTAGCTTGTCTAAAGTTCCCCCAGTATGAAGCAGACTTCGACCGGATATCATAGGAACCTATAAAAAAGCTAAGTGTAAGCAGCTAATGTCTATATATATATGTAAGAAAAATAAAGAATATATAAAAGATTAAATTAACAACGTAAATTTCCCTTCTCTATTTAAAAAAGTAAACCCTCTCTGCCTGCGTCTTCGAGACTATTCTAGCATATATTCTACGTAATTATGATGATGTAGGAACTAAACTCAACCCCAATAGTAATTTTCAGAATATTAAAGTCCAATCAAAGCTTTGGAAACCAAAACTAACTCAGTCGACTTGAGATTTCTCCGAACATTACGCACTTTTTCCACGCTTTGGCCTAGCTAGATTGCTGTCTGTCTGTTGCTGCTTTCTTGCTACAAAGTTATCAAAAATGTAAGCCTTTTGAGCAGGCAAGTTTAATGTGCCGACTTGTGTGTAGCCGTAACATGTTGTTGAAAATAAAATTGAAGATTTAATATGCCTTCGCCCCCAATTTCCTGATCATTGCTTCTGAGTTTGAATATATTACATATATATCTATATATAGCAGTTAGTGTCTATGTAAAGAGTGAGATGATTTGAGCCTTACAGGAAAGAAGTAGTGATGAGTAGATAAAATTTTTTAGGATGTTAATTTCGAGTTTTATGACACAGTGTGAGAAATTTTATGAAACTGACATGATTTCTTCTCTCTTTTTTTCCCCGCCTTCAAGTTGAAAATGAATGAAATGTGAGAGAGGAGAGCAATGATTCGTCCCGTCTGTCGTAAAATCTCACTGTAGCAGAAATCCACCAGAATATACTTCAGACGTCAGAAAATGAAGCCTCATTCTTTGTAACAGTTAAACGGTGGGTTGCCAACCTTATAGGTGGAGCGAAAATTAACCATCAGACAAGTCCAGTAATTGAAATAGCACAGGAAAAAAACAACGCTGTGCTAGATATGATAATGTATAATCGTCGTACGACTGTAAAAACAGTGTCCGACCTTAGTGACTGAAACAGTGATCTCGACTGATTGTGTGCGCCATATCAAGAACTATCCACGAAAAAATTATCAGATTGATTGGCCGCCAGAAACTTTACCCCAGATCAATAACAGAAATTGCTGCACAGAATGCATAAGTGCGTTGGTACTGGGGATGATTATACAGAGAAACCATAATAATAAGCTGTAACTCAAACACCCCTTACACTGTTGAGGCTTAAAACCTGTTATTAGCTCTGGCTTTCCTTTAGGAGGGTCAAATTCTATAACTTTAGGTTGCACAGCAACAACATCCAGACAACATTAATTATTACTTAATTAATTACGGGCTACAATAATTGATATTAATTGCTCTAGTTTATTAATAAAAATGATTAAAGTGAAAATACATGAAATAAAAGCTTCTAATAAACATAACTTGTAGTTAGTTTCAGCAAATTATGTCACAAATCGTTGCAAATATGAACGACCTGTTTACGTCAAAAAAAAAAAAAAAAAAAAATGTAGTTCGGAATGCAACTGAAATTGGTGCCTTTAATTTCATGAATTCCTTATGTTGGTACGAAAAAAATAAGGGAAATACTTATTGAAGAAAATGAAAAATATATATATGAAATAAATACGGGTAACGTTAGAAACATCCTGTGTAAAATTTATGAGGAATGTCAGAATTTAGTGAGTTCCGAAAGCGTGATTTATGAGTGAGAGAGAATCATTGATATCAATAACTAGAGGAGCAGGAAAAAGTAAGTACATTTACAATCATCTAATAAAAAAGAAAAATGTCTTTTCTCTAAATGGGAAAATTTTGGACGTATAAGCAATTTTTAAACAAGGAGAATCGAATATAATTGTATACAAAAAGCATAAAGTTACGTTGGACATATCGCAGTTAATTTAAGTATCAGTTAGAAGAATCTCAATTTGCCAAATTAGGTATTTATTGTTGCGTTTGGAAGCCTAAACTGCTTGATACTAGCATCAATAACTAGAAGCATATGCAACGTGATGATAGTATCAGAATAAAATCCTTGAGAACAATCAGGATATTAACTACCTCTAATGACTGGAAGATAACATCTCCATCAAACCTGCTTTCAGATATGAAATATGGAGGTGAGGTTGTTTTGAGACGGGCCGCTATTTCATGGCGTGCTTCAAGAGCTTTATTTATGCTACATAATGCGTAATTCCTAGTTCATACAACAAAATGTATCTCAAATGGTTTTATGTTTCTGAAGAGGAAGTAAAAACGCTATTCTAGAATCTTACGTTACAAAACATTCGATAATGTCGAATGTTTAGAGGAATTTTCTTAAGAGTAGGATTCCCTTGACCTTAAATATTTGCAAGTTTTATAACAAAAATAGCTCGAAAGAACTTTTTCTGATATCCTTGTGTCCAAATCTATTTCCAGTCCATTTGTGCAGAATATTCCCACGAGGAAAAGCCATGTTAACAAAAATACAAAATTTCATTCTGTTCTACCAGATTCCAGTTTAACACCGCATGTTAACATAAACTTACTTAATAAACAACAGATCTCTCCGTTCATCTTTATTAAGTATTACAGACATTCATCACGTTTATTGCAATAGCATGGAATTAAAAATCATTGAATATGTTTATAATCTAATATAAACTGCAAGTTTAATAAGCTTTGAAGAGCTGAAAAAAAAACTGCTTTTTTTTACTATTATATTGCGACTTATCAAAGAACCTCTACCTTTCTAAAAAAGAACAGTATCGTCTTTTACACAGACTTAATTAAAGATAGTAATTTGCACTGGAAAACACGTAGTTTCACATTTGCAGCTTGAAATGTGATAATCGATCTGAATGTGACAGTCTGAAATCATTTTATTGTCAGAAATATTCATTGGTAGTTGTTACTTAGAAAGCTCATCACATGTTGTTGTTATCTTGCCCATATTACATGGAACGGTGGTTGCCAGAGCCTACTCCAAACAGAGGATGGACTTATTTTCCACCCCTAACTTTGAGGGAGAGCTATCCCACCCCTATCCCCTTACACCAATCCACACGAGAGGGCTTTCAGCTAGCTGCATATTTAGAGTACCGTCATACCGCACCCACACTTCTACCGCCTCACCCTGACGCTATAAGACTCTCTCATTTCGCCTGACGCCGCCATTGATGAAGCTGCTTATCTACTGCGCAATGATATGCTACAAAATATTGCTTTATATATTGCTATCTACTGAGTGTACTCATGTTATTGATTTCGCCTTCGGGTGCGGTGTATTTAAAAACATACACCTATAACGTTGCGCGCCTCTAACTAGCACGCAACCAAGAGGTGACTGTGAAAGCTTGTATAAACCACAGAGTCTTATAAAGGGTTTAAGTCCCTTTTTATTCAACGTAATAAATTACAATGGCGTCTCTCTGACGCTTACAGACTGTGCCCACTAGGCAGTCAAATAAAATAGAACCTGAAAAGAAAGTAAAGACAATATTCTAACTACGAGGCTCTCTAAAATAACTAACTCACCGCGTTTTACAAATACCGCAGCTAATTCAGCAGACTTGAAGCTCACTGGAACAATTGCAACTACTTCCCGCCAAGCACATAGGCCGCAACGCGGGGTTCTTCAATTCTCGATTTCTACCTCCGCGCTCGCTAAGTAAGAATAACTCTCACCGAACTCGTTTCCTTCTATTTAAATCATACTACTTTCCGCTGATAATTGAATGCTTGCGCGTTCTACTCAAATTTACATATTCTGGCATTGGCAGTTCCAGGGGAAAGTAAGGATTGACAGGAAAGATAGTTTAAACTTAAAATAATGTTAGTTAAAATAAATATAAACCCTACATTTGCCGCTGCCCAGAATTTGGAAAACTTGGAAGCAGGTCCTACAACGACCTGTTGTAAGTTTATCTAATTCTGAACTAACTGGCGAAAGCCTCGTTTACACAAAAAAAATCTTATGTAACAATTATATATTAAAATTCTGTTATTCGTTACAAAAGCTTTCTTCTTACAGCCAACTTTCCTGGACTTCATCAATCAATCTTGGTCTTTCCTTCCAGCATCTGGAAGGAATAAGTATCAGTATCTTTCTACATACATTATAATTTACACTTTCTTGACAAATAAATTTTTGTTTTTAACGATTCGTTTTCTTAGTTATTGCTTACTTCACATTCATTCAATTTTTCAAGCATTAATTTAACTTTACCCTGGTCTCTCTCCACCATGTGTGGTGTCAAACGGGAATATTCGTGTTTTAGTCTTACAACACTTCCCCTAACCACCATGATTTGTTAGAATTCAACAACCAAATAGACACACCTTACTCGACATTCTACAACTCATGAGCTACTTTAATATTCTTAAAAATTCAAATGTAGGTGGAGAACCCCTACAAAACACATTCATTCTAACTTCCCCTCATTCATCTTTAAACATGCAGGCTTTCGCTCTAAAGCATGACTTTACAGTTTAATACTTAAATTTTGACTTCATGCTTTTAAGCATTCACTTTTAGCATCTAAAATTTTATGCTTCTAGACTAAATTCTACTTTACATAACATGCAAGTATTTACATACATTTACAAAAGTTTAATACATATGCTTTTTACAGTTTACCATAAATGAATAAGAGAAAATAAATTTTTACTTTACTCATTCTTCGCCATTCAATACGAAGTTATTTTATCTCCAGGCCAAATTTTGGCTTTAACATAACAGAATTAGTCTTTCGACCAACAGAAAATGCTTGTTTTTAAGCTTTTACTTAAAGAAAAATACTTTTGCCTTAGCTAAATAAAACAAAACTAAGTCTCAACCGAGACATATTGACTTTCGTCAAAACATAGAAACTTCGTACTTATGCATAACATTTCGGAACAAAAGAGAAAAAAAAATTATAGAAGGTTTTAACTTATCTTTGAGTTTTCGATGCTTGAAATTCCGTCATCCGTTTTTGGCAAAATTGATCCCAAGTTAGAGGTGTCATGGATGTCAATCTTCTCCTTATTGATCTCCGAGTGTCGTCCCCGTTGCTCTTTCTTTT